TCATTCATTTCTTACCAATTTCTGTACATTTTATTGGATTTGGCCATGAAGTTGATCAAATTTAATCATTAAAATGGACTGATTCATTAGATTATATCTAGTCAATGTTTCTGGTTCTGTAGCAAGCACTCCTTCTCTCTGCCTTTTCTATTTGAAAAACTAGGAAAATGAAGTCTGTCTGTCCCCATAAGACCCGGTGTTGGGGGTGGAAAGGAGAAGGCCAGTAACAGAAAGAGCTGAAGAAGACAGAACGGTCTGTGTATCTGGAGCAGACAGTGATGGCAATGAGGAAAGAATAAGAGGGGGACTTTCTTTCCTTTTCTTCCCCTTATCTTGCACCACGAATGCCATTAAAATGTAACCCATTTGTGACTCAAGGGCAGAATACGTATCTTGGAAATCTATCAGCAATACTATCACTGCCCACGTCTGCAACCAGAGTAGGGTCTCCCGGAACATCTGCTCTTTTCTAGCTCTTGTCTTGGTGTTCTCAGACTCCTTGTAAGCCCCAAACCAACAAGTCACAGGAACAAATTTATTAAAACAGACTTATTACATACAAGGAAGAATCAATCAATAAACAAACATTTATTAAGCACCCATGTGCCAGGCACTGTGCGAAGCACTGTGAAGAGAACACAGAATGAAACCAATTTATCACATAACACGCATACAGAAAGGACTCATACTTGTGCCCACAAAAAGTCTAGAAAATTTCCTTTTCCTCTCACTTCTTTCCTCATTCTCTGGACTTCTCTCCCTACCCTCACCAGCAACTCCCCACCCCAGTGATGCCACTACTGTGAAGCCCCCATCCTCGTTTAAGCCCCTACCCAAAACCACCATTTCATGGTGCCCAGGCCCCGCTCTCTTCACTCCCAGCTTTGTTCCTCACTCTGGACTTCTCCATCTTCTCAGCAGCAGCCTTGCCCCTCCCCATTACCTCCCCTCTCAACTTTCTAGATCCCCTTTATGTGTTATTCACATTACAGAGCTTCCCAAACTAATCTGGCCTACTGACCCCTTTCCCAAAAATAATTACTCAGGCCTCCCTGGAAATTTACTTTCTTTAATCCTTTCATGGTTTAATCCTTTAAACCATGAAATTTGCATCATTTCAAGAAAATTTTAAATAATTTTAAATGACTCATCTTACATTTAATAAGTTACTGTAAATTTGTGGGGTTTTTCTTGCATTGAAATTTTGACAGTGCTATATTGCATTATGGAACCATACAGTATTGTATTGTAAACAAGTCATTACACACATATGTTCCTGCCAATGCATGCTGGACTTCCCCACAATGCGTGATAAGCTCTCCTGCCAATACTTGCTTGTTAAGACCTGTCGGTGTACTTGACCCTTGATGGGTTACAACTTGCATTTTGTGTGTTTATTTGGAAAATAATGAATCATTATGACTTTGTTACACAACAGATGAAACACGTACAAATAGTTTTTCAAAACTTTCTTCTCTTCTCTCCTTATGCTTCCACTGCCCCTTTATTTTTATTCAACACCCCCCCAGTATTCCTGAGGCTATTACCACCCCCTGGATAGTTCCAGTGACCCCCAGAAGGTGGTAATGCCCACTTTGGGAACCACTCATGGAATTTAAACACCATCTGGGGAAATAACAGTTACACATTTAAGATAACAAGGTAAATACAAACTATTTCAGAAGCAATATAAAGACACTAGTAGACTTCCTGTAGATGGTACCTAAGCTGAGTTTTGAAGGAACCAAGGGACCTCAGAAGCAGCCATGAGAATGAAGTGCATTCCAAGTACTGCGGGTAGCCCAGGAACAGACACAGAGACAGAAGGAATGCCACGTGTGAGAACAGAAAGTAATGGAATCTGGTTAGATGAAGGGGGATAGGAAGAATGCCTAAAGGGATTAATGTACAACATCAATTCCTTAGTAGTAGAGGCTTTTTTTTTCCCCATGTTTTCCCCATGCTCATTGGAAACATTTCCAGAATTTACCTTGTAAAGACTTTAAAGCATCTAAAACATTCAATTTTATTTAACACATACTCATCAGGCCTGCTACAAGCCAGACTTATGTTAGACACTAAAGATACAAAAACAGTCCCTTCCCTGTCTACTTTTTTGGCCAGAAATAAAATGTAAGCTCAAACAAAATTGTGAAGAGTTTTCAAAGACAAACATATTAAGTTTTACTCAAAGTTATTTTAATAAATTTAATATTAAATTAAATTAAATGTATTAAACAGGCGACCAGAGACACTGGATCGTCTTGAACATTAGGGTGACGTGGTCACATAGTGAAGAGAGACTAAAGACAGAGAGGCCAATTAGAAGGCTATTGCTATAGCTCAGGGGAGATGATCAAGGCTTGAGAGGCGATCGCCAGACTGATGGGCCACGTGGAGAGGAGGCAGACATGAGACACCGCATAGCTAGAATACACAAGACTTGGCAGACGACTGCATGACAGGATAAAGGAGTGGAAAGAATTGAGGACAGCACCAAGGTTATGATGGAGGTGCCGTCAACAGAAATAGAGAAGGGTGGTTTGCCAGAGATGAGGAGAGAGAGACAATGAATTTCATTACGGACATGTTGGGTCGGAGTTATCCAATGTCCAATAAATAGTTGGTGACGCAGGAATGAAATTCAGACAGGATGAGATGAGGGCTGGATGTATAAATCTGGGAGCCATCTACATATGGATGATATTGAATCCAAGTCACTAAACGAGTGTGAAGAGAGCCCAGGACAGAGCCTGTATGTATGCCCACACATAGGGGATTTTATATTAGATGATGGTCCTATAAAAGACACTGAGAAGGAATCAGTGATTCGAGAGAAAAACTAAAACAGTCATAAAAGTCTAGGGAAGAGGGAGTCCAGCAGACGGGGGTGATCAACAGTGTCATGGAAAAGGCCTGAGAAAGGGTCATTGAATTTTAAATTAATAGATCAAAAGTTTAAGGAATTGTCTCAACATCTTGGAAGAGGCAAACCTATTATCAGGGATTGATGATTTAGAGTCAAAGACAAGAGGCCAAACTGGTATTTATTATAATGCAAAGGAATCTGCTTTCACTGATAGCTTAGACTACACAACCAATCAGCAGCATTTCCCAACAACTGAGGAAGTAAAAATAAATCATTTCATAGGAGAGGGAGGGATAGAGAAAGAAGATGATCAGCTGTGGGAGAAAAGGGGAGTGTCTGGAATGCAAGTAGCAGAATTTATTATCAAAATAAGAAAACAGTCCCAGTTCAAAGACAAGGGAAAAGAGAGGAGAAACCTGTACAACTATGAAAGCAGTCCTTTCAGTCTCTTATCCAAGGACCTCAAGCAGTGTGGTAGCAACAGTCTACGAGACCATTCACTTTACTGAGGTTAGGGATGTGTTTCCGCTGATAAAAAAATTAATAATGAATATGCAGTAGAGACCAGAAACAAGGTCAGCAGGAACAAGAAAACGAGAAGATGATACATAAGACAAGTAGTGATTATAGGACGGCCCAAGTCCTATAATTTAAGTGCTGTTAAAGCTCACAACTGTACTAAGACTTTTAAAATATTAAAAAAATTTAAGCTTTTTCTAAGCTATTTTAAGCCTTTTTAAGCCATTAAAACTGCACGAAAGCTTTTAATGCAGGGCAGCTAGATGGGGCAGTGGACAGAGTGCTGGCTCTTCAGCCAGGAAGCCCTGAGTTCAAATCTGCCTTCAGATACCTACGAGCTGTGTCACTTAGCTCAGTTTCCTCATCTGTCAAAGGAGCTGGAGAAGGAAATGGCAACCGCTCCAGCGTCTTTGCCAAGACAACCCCACATGGGGTCACGAAGGGTCAGAGGACCCTAAAAACCACAAGACTTTTAAACAACTAAAAATGTTGCGCTATTTTTGGTCTTCTTACACTACTACAGCTTAAAACATCACTGCAAACTTCTGGGACCCCCCGGACACTTGAAAAGACAGCTGTGAGCAGTACAGACTCAAGGGCAATCTTCTCTCTTCTGTTCTACTTTACAGGAAAAAGCGTCTTTCGGGTGCTGGCTAAATTCAGAATTTATAAAAGTAAAGCTCCTCGAAAAGTAACCATTTAAAAAGTCACAACAGGAGCCGGAGAGGATGGCCTCGAGACGACTAGGGAAAGGGCAGGGGGCTCGAGCCTGGCCTCCGACCGTGGGGCACCCCGGGCGGAGGGGTGGCAACCTGCACTGGCGGAGGGACTCTGCACTCCCTCCTCCCAGCCCCCACGGGAAGGCCCTCGCTGCCAGCGGCCGCCCTCCATGGCCTCTTTATCCTGCCCCCGGCGGGGTCGCACACAGTCGGGCGCTGGTGGCGGGCCCCGTCTCTGGCCTTTCTCGGTACGCGCAGCGCTTCAGCACAGGGCCCGGCACACAGCAGGCGCTCACGTGATCCCTGACTGAGCGCCGGCGACCCACCAGGCCCAGGCCCCGTTCCTTACTTGGGGGCCCTCTCCGGGCGCCTGGAGCACTCCTCACACTGCGGCTCTTATTCGGCAGAGGGCGCCGCTCCTGCCCGCGAGGAGGATTCACAGGCTCGGGGCTTTCCCACAAGCCCGAGGGCCCCCTGGCAGCCGCTCAGGCGCCGCTCGCTGATGGACAACCGAACGGCCCAATGGCGTGGATGGGCTAAGCAGGGAGGCGGAAGTCACCCCCCCCACTCAGTCCCTCTCCCCGCCGCGACGCGGCCGCGAGCTCTCGCGATGCCCCGCCCTCCTGATGTGGCCGTGCGCGCTCGTGCGAGAAGCCGATCCGGCTTCGCCGCCATGCTCGTGTGGAGCGTGGTTGGGAGCGCGCCGGAAGTCCGTGACGCTCAAGAGTACGTGGACGGAGATGACGTCCAAAGACCGTCGACGGAAGTGCCCCAGGCGCTCTGGCGCCAAAGCATTCTGGGAACCGGAAGAGAGGCGGGAATCGCTCTCAGACGTCCGCTGTCGGAGCCGCGCGGTTGCCAGAGGCGCGGACCCGGCTGCTCCAGAGCCGCGAGCAGCTCCCGGAGCAGGTGCCGCGATGGTGGGCAAGGCGCGGAAGCGTGGGGTCGGGCAGCGCCGGGCAGCTCGGGCCCAGAAAAAAGAGGAGGAGGAGGAGGAGGAGGGAGAGCAGGGGCCGCCGCCCTCGCCGGGGGACCCCAGGTACTTCCAGGACCAGGTAGATGCCTTCCATGAGGCGCGGTCGCAGGCGGCTCTGGCGCCCTCGTGGAGCGACGGGGAGAGCGGGGCAGAGGACCCCGAGGAGGAGGAGGAGGTGCTAGGCCTGGACGTGCCCGAGGAGGAGGAGGAGGAGGAGGAGGAGGAGGACGACGCGGGCAGCGTGGGAGGCAGCTCCGTGCTCAGCGAGGCCGAGGCCGCCGACGCCGACCCCAGCCTGTCGTGGGGCCGGAGGAAGAAGCTCTACTACGACACGGACTACCGGGCCGCCAAGGGCAAGGGGCAGCAGAGCCAGCAGGAGGCCGAGGAGGAGGAGCGGGAGGAGGAGGAGGAGGCGCAGGTCATCCAGCGGCGCCTGGCCCAGGCCCTGCACGAGGACGACTTCGGCCTGAGCTGGGTGCAGGCCTTCGGCCAGGCGGCCCAGCCCCGGGCCGAGGAGCCCCGGACCCGCGTGGTCACCGACCTGCAGCGGGTGCCGGCCAAGGAGAAGCTGAAGCTGCTGCGCCGGGAGTCCCCGGAGCTGCTGGAGCTGATCGAGGACCTGAAGGCCAAGCTGACGGAGCTGAAGGACGAGCTGGAGCCGCTGCTGCGCCTGGCCGAGGCCGGGGCGGTGCCGCCCGGGAAGGGCCGCCGGTACCTGCAGACCAAGTACAGCCTCTACCTGCACTACTGCTTCAACGTCAGCTTCTACCTGGTGCTCAAGGCCCGGCGCGCCCCCGTGCACGGGCACCCCGTCATCGAGAGGCTGGTCACCTACCGGAGCCTGATCAACAAGCTGGCCCCGGTGGACCGGAGACTGGCCGGGGAGGTCCGCCGTCTGCTCTCGCGGGGCGCCGCGGGTGGGCGAGTGACCGCGGATCCCAAGAGGAAGCCCCCTTCCAAGACGCCCGCCGGCAGCGCCGCCCTCGGCCCCGCGGACGACTCCGAGGAGGACGAGGAAGCCGCTCGGAAGCACTACAGAGAGATGGAAGAGAGGCTGAACCTGAAGAGGAAGAAAGAGGAGGCCGCCGAGGAAGAGGAGGGAGAGGCGCCCGGAGATCCGAGTGCAAAGAGGGCCATTACGTACCAGATTGCCAAAAATAAGGGACTCACACCCCGACGGAAGAAGATTGACAGGAATCCCAGGGTTAAACATCGGGAGAAGTTCAGGAGAGCCAAGATTAGGAGAAGGGGTCAGGTCCCTCAGGTTCGCACAGAAGAATACAAATACGCTGGTGAACTGTCTGGCATTCGTGCTGGAGTTAAAAAGAGCATCAAGTTGAAATAAAGCCTAGTTTAAGCTCTAAGCAATATATTTCGAACCAATAAATTTTTCATTCTAGTTACAAATTGATTATCCTTTTTGATTTTCTAGGGTGTAGGCTTGTTTAAAAAAAAAAAACAAAACGCATTTTTCAACTTGGTCAAGTAATATCTGGTTGTTGCTGGCCTCCTATCTGCCTGGGGTAATTTCTTGCCAAAGATAATTGTTTCCAGGAAAGAAAGACTTAATTCAGGGTCTGGTTTTTGAGGGTTCTGTTTGGACAAGTTTATTGCAGTATGGCCTATAATCCCTATATGGGCTTTGCTTAAGGGATAAGATTGAAGGTAATGGGCCTTATTTATCAGTTTTTTCCCATGTCTTGTCCATAATTGGCTACCTGGCCATTTATTTAATCTCGCCCCTACAAAAAGAAAAAAAAACCGAAATTTAAAAATCTCCCGTACTTAATTTTTTGCTACACCTAATATTACACCAGTTCACTTCTTTGGGATGATTATTTCCTTCTCCAGGCATCCTATGTCCTAAAACGTAAATAGCTTTGCAAAGCAAGTTCACCCTATTGTAAATTTAGTTTTGTCAAATTTTCTTTTTCTGGGACCAGGACAGAATGAGGGTTCTTTGGTTAGGGTGGTGGCTGAGAGCTTTGCATACATAATAACTTGGCCTGGGATTTAACCCTGAAAAGGGTTATAAAGAGGTAGTTCAGAGATGCTTTCATTTTGAAAATAAGCGTCATAATTGATGAACTAGTTTTATAAGGTATCTGTTTAAAATCAAAAAGCTCCAAAAGCTGTATGTTTTGTAAATAACAACTCACCTTGGGTAAGTCAATGTTTAACAAGTAGGAGGGAAGCTGATTTAACTCACTTTAGTACTCTTGTAGCTCAGAGTAGAGTTGAGGGGTAAAGGGAGGGAAGTGGGCATTTACTAGCAAGGTAGAGAGCTTTCTTATTAAGTGGGGGTTCTGACCTGATTGAAATGTTCTACTGTTATCCATTAACCTGAATAACAGATGGGGCATAAATGATAAATTGCTAATGAATGTAGTTTGAGTCTGATTTGGGATGTTCAAAATGGGGATGTTTTAAAAGAGGGGAAATGATTTAATCATTGTGGCCTCGTGTACTAATTTGCTCGTCTTGGGCATATGAGGATTAAAAAAAAAATCTCCATGCTGAAATACTAAGTGAATGAAATCATATACCCAGAAAAGGGTTTTGGAGGAGAGGCCTAAGATTACAGCTGCCAGGGCCCAGAGGACGTCTGATCCAGCCACCTCACTTTTCAGATCAGGAAACTGAGGCCTAGAGAAATCGAAGAGACTTTCCTGAAGTCCCACAGGCAGTAAATGGCAGGGGTAGGATACTAATTCATGTCCTCTGGCTCCAAATCCAATGTGCTTTATTCTATGCCACTCTTCCTCCCCAGCACTCGAGGGGGGATGTGGGGAATTTGGGATTGGGCATTAAGAGAGAAGGAATGCAGTAAGATGAAGGGAAGTTGGTTGTGGTGTTACTATCTCAGCCAAAACTTCAGTTATTAGAAGGACTTTAAAAAAGCATCCCATATTACACCTGGAGGGCCATGAAGAATAGAAATACACATTGTTCAGATCTAAATCCAAGAAGGTAGAAAAAATTAGTCATTTACATTCAGCATCTAGTTATGTTCTTTCACTGACCTCACGGCATTTCATGACATTAACTTGTTAGTTTTTAGGACATTGCTGGAATATAATCAGTATGCTGATCAGTCTTCCTGTTCACCTAAGGCCATGTCTGACTTGGGGACATGTTCCCCTGGCCTCAGTTTCTTCATCATCCTCAACTTGTGTGACCTGTATCTTTACCTCAGCCTTCCACAGGTATGGTCCTATCTTAGATAACTGACAAGACTGGCATGATTTTGATTTCCCCTCTCTTGATAATTTTCTTTTCCTCTGCCTTATTCCTCCTATCCCTATGACCTGCCATGCCTACCTGTCCCCCCCTCATCCTTCAGATCAGTAACATTGTATGGCACCTTTGGCTCTCCTGCCTTCATTGTTCTACCACTCTTCACACCCTGCCAATCCAGTGCTCTTGGGGCACTCAGCTGAGCCCTTGGTACTACGTGGCAAGCTATTCCTTAATTGATTCACACTCTTCGGTTATTCCAGATCTTAATTGTAAGGCCTCAGTAGTACCTCAAATCCACCTGTTTCCCTGTAGACATCAAACTACTTTACTGAAAAAAAAAATTAACCATCTGTCATAAGTTTCCCTCATCCCACCCATAAACCCCTTTACATCTTCACTCATCCCGCCTTTTACTTGTCTCTGAGGCAAAGGTAGTACTTCTGCCAAGACAAATCCTCCTCCCCATGCTCTAACCTGCACCATTCCTGCTCTTATTTTCTGTTTTTCCTCTGCTGTCTCTTTTCTCACTGTCGATAAACATAATTAGATCTGCCCTATCTTTTAAGCAACCTTTATCCTTGTCCTTGATAGCTTTCAAGTTGTTGTCCTAGATCTCCTTTTCACTGCCAAACTCTTAAAAAGCCTGGATCTATGTTTTTTTCACCACATACTTCCTTCTCATCCCCTTCAATCTGGCTTTTTAGCTCTCCAGGTTAAGCAATAAGAGCAATCTCTTAACTGCTAAATCCAGTAGCCTTTTTTTTTTTTTTTAAGCTTTGTAACTTTTGATGTTGTCACACACCCCCATCCCCCCACCCGGTTTTCTGGATACTCTCCCCTGGCTTCTGTGACTTGACTTTGTCTTCCCACCTGTCTCGCTACATTTTGTCAGGCTGTTATGCCAGATTTTCATCCCATCTCGAAACGAGTGTTGCTTGGCTTGGATTTGTTTATGTGCATTCTCTTTCCCTGCTGATCTCTGCTTCCATGGGTTCAAGCATCCTGTTTTTCAATGCATATTCCCAAATATCTAGCCCTAAATATCTCATGGACAAGTTTCTCAATCCCATTGCAGTTTAGAGTTTGGCCTTACGTTTCAGGGTTGTTTTGCCTTGAAATTTAACTCTCTTGTAATTGGCTTTAATTGGACAAGGAGACTGCATTCTTTAAGACGAGATAAAATTCATACTTTTTTGACTGCGCATATGGCAATAAAGAAACTATTTTCTTTCAGGTTTTTAATCTCCTCTAAGAGCGAAAGTAGCATTTGCTGAAATAAAAGTACATTTTGCTAGGAAAAAAAAATGTCTCCTGGACATCCTATGAGTATCTCCAACTTTATCCAAAACAGTCCTTATCTTTTTTTGCCTCAGATAAGATTCCTGTTGAGACTACCAGCAATAAGTCCATGAAAATTTGTCTCATATATATACACACATGTATATGTGTATATATATGAACTGTAAAATTTTCCTGGCTTAAGATTGTTTCTTTATCTTTCTGGAACTTCATCTTTCTTTCACATTTTCCAACATTTCAAAGTAGAGAAATATTAAGGCCTAATAAATACCTTGACTCTCAGCCACAGAGCTTGCTAATCTCATTAATTTGCCATAGCACCTGCTGACGAGTTGGTAATATTCTCAGGAATTTTCCTTTACTAATTTCTGAATATTACTGATCACTGAACCCTTGTATCAGGACACAGAGTGCTCTGACCTCAGTTCCCAGGCTAGCTTGGGTCCCTGCTTTCAGAGATATGCAACACCTGATCCCAATAAATTCTGTTTTCCATCACCCTAAAATAGAATCAAAATCAAAGTGTGATTCTAATACCTATTTTCTTTCTGTTACCCCATGTAAGCTATACTGAAGATTAAGCAAGGTTATTTATTTACAAGTGAACAGAATATATCAAAAGGAGAAAAAATATATGAAGTAATTAGAAGTGTGTTTGAAAATTTTTTATGTAACCCAGACTGAGTAAAAAATTGCTTGCTTTAGTTAGGATTCTCTCGCCCTGGAGTTCTCTTCTCCTTTCTCCCCCAAACATACAAGATGCCCCCTTGTGAGATCTCCATGAGAATGCTGACTAACATTAGTCCTACAACGCTACCAGGTCATTTAGTCCTTGGCTCTCCTTCATGCTACACATCTAATCTGTTGCCAGCTCTCTTAATCTTACCCTTCTCCACAGTTCATAGATCTTATCTCCTCTTCATTCACCACTGCTTCCTAAGGTCATTCCCCAGTTCAAGAACATTCTTTTGCTCCCTATTGCTTGTAGGAAAAAGTAAAACTCAAGTCTCTGCAAGACCCTCAACAATCTAGTACCTCCCTTCCCTTTCTCTTTTATTCCTTCAGAGCTAAGTGAATTACTAATTAGCATTTGTGTAAGAATAAGAACCACTGTTGGGCCCAGGGGCCTGGAGCATTTCACCATCTCCCTTTCCACTATGGATCCCCTCTGCTCTGGATCCATGTACGGTCACTGTATTCAGTTCTGGCCTTTAATGAATGGGGCTAACCTCCTTTTCTCACACTTTTAGATCCTTTACATTCCATGCCTCAGAACCCCTAGGAAATTTGCCTAAAGTTTAGGTTTGGCTCCTCGCTAAAGTATCCCACAAAATGTCTAATGTCAGGTAGGAGACAGCTCTCTATTTTTTCTACACAAAAGAAAAGCTAAACACACACATAAGTACATAATAAAGAATTTTAAAAGGAAATAGGAAGTCTAGTAATGCTCTCACAGAAGGCTGATGCATCAAGATAAGATTCCGTTTGTTGGCCTCCAGAACAGGCCTTTTACGCTTCACGTCGGGTCTGCATCATCCAAACGATTTCTTCCAGGTTCGTGTCTTCCAGCAAGCCAGGCCAGCTATTCCCCTTGTTAGTGGTCTTCCTCACCATACAGAAGCCCCCTTTGCTGTCAGTCAGCCAGTATTTTCCTGGGAGTGGCCAGGGCACAGGATCAGCATGCCACAAGCCATTCTCCAATCTGATGCCTGCCACATTCTTTCCCCTGGTTAAACATTTGCTGACTTCAGCAATTAAAGTAGGATACAATTGGTGTGTTTGTCTATCTTCCCAATTCTGGCAAGTTCTCTAGGGTCCTACAGAGGCATATGCGTTGCTCTTTCAAGTTCCTTCCCCAGTACCTTTCA